AAGCCGAGTTGCATGAGAAGGGTGAGTGAAGTGTTGAACACCATATTTTTCTGAAATTATTTTGGAAATATGATTTTCAAAAATTTCTACATCACTTCAAGCAAGGAAGAAATTTTGTTTAAATATAAAAGTGGAAAGGCTTACTAATGACTGGGTAGGTAACTTGTGAGGGCATACAATCTTTTACATCATCAGGAACTATTGATGTTACATTCTCAAATAATTACAGTTTTGAAAGTCTAATTCTCTAACTGTAGGGTCAGTGAGTTGCTGCTGTGGGACATGCCTCTGCTGCTGGAATTGATGACAGCCCCTAGAGCAGGCGTCCCTGGACAATGCAGAGGTCTTCCATTTGTAGGCCTAGAAAAAGGGAGGGGTAACTACTAAGTAGAAAGTTTTACTGGGAAATAAGAAAAAAAAAAAATGGATAGCTGAAGCGTTACCCAGAATTTAGTTCCTTGGTGTGCTGCCAAGTCCCTGGCTGACTTAGGCAAATTTTGTGTCTGTGTGTGCATACATCTATTACTCTTGTGGAAATGCAGGCTAATTTGTTAGAATGAATACACAAAACCAAATTCAGCAAGCGGTGTGCGAAGCAATGCAAAACTGTCATTTACATTTTAAGAGATTGATTGTTTTGCCCCCAGAACAGCACAGATCTACTTGGACTAAAAAGTAAAATATTTTTATTAGTTAATTACTTTTCTTAATTGCACTGTTTCTTAACACTAATTAATGGTTCATTAACAAATCAAAGTATCAGTTTAAGCCAAGTAAAAAGGCAACAAATTTGAGTAAACATGGAGACGAACTCTGGTGCATTTCCTTATGTATAAATCAGCGTGGTAGGAAGCAGAGTGCCAGTGTCTCCCCTCTCAAGTTCCAACCTAGGTCCTCTGGAATTCAAGTATGATGTGCAATATTGCTGCTTTTTTTTTTTTTTTTTAATTTAGCTATCAAACCATTTTGTGAACTCAAATGTAACTATCACTTAGGGCTGAAGATAGTCCATATTGCAGCCAGCTTCTAGCACACCTTCCGCCTCTGTTGTACCTGCGTCGGAAAAATGTCACTACTGTCAGCACAGTGGGTTATCGTGAACCCTTAGTCTAGTTCAGATTCTCAGTTAACTGGGGCATGGGGACTGAATTAAGAATAAACCTCACTGTTAAGCATTATCCACAGCACCACGGTTTATTTTTAGAATTTATACCAGTTTAAAAGCATACAACTATGAGCAACATACAGATTTTCCTATATAGCTCTTTGGTTTACAGGACTAATCTAATCTGACATTCAAGGTGTCCCAGATAAGACATTCATTGACGTTCAAGTTTCTCTTCAGAAGTGCAGAAACAGTTTGTTGCAGTTGCATGCATCCCATATAACGACTAGGTTTGTGTGCTTTACCAGTGAGATTGAAAAATGAAAAAAAAAGCAGCAAACACTGAAGTGTTTGTGCCCTGGATCAAATTTTAGTGCTTCTTAATCATCTCTTAAGCAAGATCCCCTTTCAACCTGACAAATTTTTGACAAATGGCAAACATGGCAAAACATGAAATAGTTACAAGCAGGATAAAAAATCAACCTTGCTAACAGAGGGCCGCCCAACAGAGTCAGCTCAGAACTCCAGCCCTGCAAGCCGAACTCCCAGGCAGACGTTGAACTAAAAGGAGGCTCATAAACGTGGTAAGAACACAATTGCACACGTGTTCAGCCAAGAGGCAATGTCATTTACACTGGACCTTGCTTGCATCTGATGTTTTCGGATGTGAATAGTGACTTTCGTCTCAGGTTCCAGAATAAGAGAACTTAAAGGAGCTTAATTTTCAGAATCTTTTGGAAATTAGGCCCTTTTAAGAGTTCTGGTCTGTACGTGAGAAGTAAGGCTTCCAAAATGAAGTCACATTGACATGGTGTACTTTAAGTTTATACTTGTTGATATTGATAGCCAAAAATACCCAAACCCAAAACATTTTAAATGTGAATAGGAGCAGGACATCGAATAGGGGCAACATATCAACCTTCATGAAGATTGAGCTGTAAAAACATTGAAGAGATTGAAATAAGTCCTTTCTCAGCTGGAAATATATAAAAATTCCAGCTGCAATAATTTTTCATGACCTGTAACGTGAAAGTGGTTTGATCAATTTTCTGTACAACTTCATACAAACATTCTTTGCCTCAGGGCTAAGTACAGGAAATTACAGCCCACACCAGTTATCTAGGGAAAAAACACATCAGGGAGCTAAACCAAGATATTTATAAAAGTTGTTAGTTGCAATTTTAATTACGACTCCCTTTCAGACATCCAAACGAGTTAATACAAGATTAACTCAAAACAGCAAACATGTAAAATGTGGAGTACACCACAGTGCTAGATTTCTTTCTTTGTAGATGTTGCACTACTCTTCTTTCTACATCACCCAAGCGTATGTGTGTGAGTGAAAGAAAGGGATTTCAGGTTATAACAGGTGACATTTGCCCAGGGAGGAGTCTCAGGTAAGATGTGAGATGCCTACTACCAACATTTCACTTTATACCAGTCCAGTCCTACTGAAACACGAGCCACGTGGGGCTGTAGTTTGGCAGCCGTGTGGAGGTGTGAGTAGATTCTCAGGTGTGCTGTTACGATCTACCCAAATCCAACCTCATGGCCGTGTGGTTTGGAGTGTTCCCAGAGTACGGGGCTTATGTTTGCTTTCTCAACTTTGAATTACCGTTTTCACTGTAATATCACAAATAGCACTGAATCTGCTCACAGCTCAGGGATGCATCTTACACAGTAATAGAACTGCATTAATTAAAACAATGCTGGCCTTTGGTGTAGGCAATAGCCAGATTTGTTTGGCTTCTGTGGTTATTCTTCCAGTGACTTTTTCCTCAGCTTTGAAAGTGAAGACATGCTCCCAACCAAATGAGATGTATTAAATTACTGCAAAATAATTTAAATCCGTACTTCATTCATTTTGCCACTCTTTTCTTTAAAAATGGCTTTAATATTAAATGACAGAAAGTTCAATAGAGTACTAGAATATTCATTGAGAACATTTGAGAATGCTAGTTTTACGTACAGTGTCTATTTCGTGCCATAAAGTGCATTTATTTGCTTTCCAGAACATGATCCAAATCTATGAAACAAATCCAGTGCCAGGGGTTTTGTGCACAGTCCCTAGGGTCATGGTTTTAAGGAACCAAAAGGGCAGAAACATAAAAGTCAGGAAGGTTCAAATGGTCTGGGTTAGATGAGTTTGCACCATGTTCACTTACTGAAGACAGTGTGAAATAGCGCAAAATCGGGAACAAACAAGACGGTAAAGCAGAAATATTTGTGTTCTGTGCCCACTGTAGACATCAGAGACCGCTGATGCTTCCAAAGTTCTGTTAATTGTATCTGTGTGGTTCCTATTGGCAAGTCCAGATGAAAGAACGTAACTGCCCTTGTTTAACACCAAGGAAAACATACTCGGAAAGGGTGACCTGCCTGTAGAAATCGTAGGCGAGTATCAGATTCAGGAGTAGAATATAACTGCTTATTAAATGTTCTAATTTTTCCTTCCAAGGCAATTTTCACTCAAGTTTACAACTTAGTTGATAAGAATTTAGTATTTGCTGGGTCTTGTGTCTAATCAGTGTGTCCCTCCTCTCCTTGTTTGGATTGCTTGTGTTCTCCATGCTTACCTCTCTCATGACATTTTCTTCTCTTTGGTTATTATGAGGAAGGATAGTAGTGAAGCAAGTCGTGCAGCATCCTTTGGAGATGGTTTGATTTGGTGTGACTGGATCTAGTTCTTAGGTTGTTCAGAACAGATGGAAGCTCTCGGCTATTGACTGCTCTTGTCCTGGAACGTGTTAGCCACAGGAGGCAGCTGCCCCTCTGAGTCGTGCCACCTGTCACTGCAGACCTTTAATCTGTTAACTACTTTACAAGACTAAAACCACAATCTTAAATGTTAGTGCTGGAAGGCAGCAAGGGGCAGTGACAGAACCCTTGGTTAGTCCCGTTCTCTCTGTGCTGGTCAGAGGAAGGGAACACTGCAATTTGTGTAAGGGGGGGTTCTCACCATCTTGCTTTGGGTGCAGTAAACTGCAGCAATCCAACCTGAGGAGGAAGAAACACATCCCCTCGTTCACGTAGTAGCGTAAGAGCTTGAATGCCAAGACCTACCCTCCTTCTAGAAAAGCAGAGAGAAGTAGATCTGTCTTTTGGCTAGGGGCTCGAAGCTGAACATTTTCCCCTCTGTTTTAGGGGAGCATCTGAGTGCAAGTTTTCCTTTAGTTACATAAATACCTGTCACTACAGCATTTTGCAAAATCAAGTCCCATATACCTAATTTATTAGGCTACATTATTCCCAGACAGGTCAGTTTCCTTCCAAGTGCTCTGATTCCTCACATGAAGAATTTAAGAACTGAACATGCATAGGACTGTTCTTGCCACTTCATGTGTTTATGTTTGGGGTGGGTTTTTTCGTATACAAGATGAATATAAATGCTGGTTTAGGTACCTAAATTCTTTACTTTTCCTCTATAAAATGTTTTTAAACATAATGTTTACCATGAGTTTCCACTTACAGAAGTTACAAACGCATCTTTTACAAAGCAATAGCCTTAAGAAGGGAAGGAGTAGTTGCCTGTTCTACACAGCAAATCAGTGCCTGTACTAAAAATAAAAAACAAAAGCAGACCCTTATGGCCTCTCATCAGCTTTCTCTCTTTTTACTTACATAGGGAAACATTTAAAAATGATGAAGGGCAGGATAACGTAAATAAATTCTTGAAGAAGAGGAACAGCGACAGTGGTTCTTTGATAAGGTCTAGTATTTTGTGTTATTTAAGTTCTCTCACATTTGAAGGGATTCAAATAGTGGTTCTTTGATAAGGTCTAGTGTTTTGTGTTATTTTTAAGTTCTCTCACATTTGAAGGGATTCAAACCATTCATATGTGTTCATCCAGGTTTCAGAAGACGACTAGAAGTTTAAACAAGTGCACTGGAAAAGTTTGTGTTTGTAAACATTTATTTTCTTGAACTGAAAAAGGCTTGCATCAGCACACATTGTACAGCCTTGCAAATTACACAAATTGAAAAAAGTTTGTTTCATTTATGTGCAATGAATCTTTAATGTCCAGTGAGCATCTGCAAATGATGAAAACTTAAACCATTAAAAAGGTTTCCAGCACTTATCAAACGTAATTATCTTAGCGTGGAAAAGGAAGATGAAGAGATCCATACTGGTGGGAACACAATTAAAGTGCAAACATTTTGTCACTTGTGAAGATACATTTTAGTTTCTTCACACTTCCGCTAAAAAGAAGAAATGCTAAAATGTGATTCAGTGAACATTCTTTGTAACCTATTCATATTCCCCTTTAAATAATTATTAAACTTGTTGGATCAGAAGCAAATCCTTCAAGGGTACAACCTACCTGTAATTCTTTTGACATTGCTTGCATGAATCTCAAAAGAAAGTGACCATCTAAAGGGTTAGTTAGTACAATTATATTTTTTTCCCCTTAAAAAAAGAAAAGAAAAGAAAAACACAAGGGACAAAGAACAGGTTAATTTGGCATAGTTTGCTAGAAAATGAATGTAATTCCTTGAAAATGGTTCTCTTTTCCCCTCCACCAATCCTCAGGTTCCTGCCTTGGAATGGACAGCTGTGTGCTGGCTGTGAAAAGGGACTATAAAATACAAATCTGAATATGGATTTTTATGAACGTTTGCTGTACAATAGAACTTTGGATCTGATACAAGAATTCAAAAATATAAAACAAAACTACTACAAAAGTAGGGGGCATTTCCACAGCATTCCTTGTGGAAAGCTGCCTGTCTCAAAGATGATTCCTTGCTATTGTCTGGGATTAACTCTGTATTTTTTTTTTCTTCATCTTGGTGGGTCACTGGGTTATTTATTCTTCAATGGCTAATGTCATATGACAAAACATCCCAGGAGTCTCTATGAAAGGAACAGAAACCCCAAAACATCAAGCCAATCAAGGAAAGGAGGACGTGGAAGTAGTAAAGGCTGCGCGTCCGCTGATGTAACTGCTACTGAGAACTTGCCCTTTCCAGAACATGAAAGTCGTAGTGCTTCTTGCTTGTTCTCAGCCTGAACTTGTTCACTGAGGTACTGCTTTGCTTCTTCAACGCGTTCTGAGCAGCTGACATGGTCGGGAACGTGGCTAGAACCGTATAAGTGGAGGCCAAGTCACTAGGTTTGGGTGGCTCAGTGTTCACACTGTCTCCGCTGCCACAGTAACGACGGTGGTGCTGCTGCTGTGTTGGTAGACACTGCGAATCCCTTAGCCACCGAATCTTGGCACCAACTTTTAAAAGTTCTCCAAATAGTTTTTCTGCTTCCATACGAGTTATGCCTTCTGGCAGTTCAGTAATTTCTAGAACTTTTCCCACAACTGGAACAAGAAAAACATTGAATCAAAATTGGTATTGTATGTAATGCTACAACAAACACAATGGAAAATTAGTTATTTCATGCTCCTGTCTCCAGTTGGCTGATACCAAATACACAGGCATTGCATTTCTGGTTTTCTAGAGAGCCTTTTGCTTTCCTATTTAGCGCTGCTTACAGCTAACGAGCGTGCAAATAGAAGCTGAGAATACAAAAAGGGCCCTACAATCAACACCTAATTTTGCTGAGTCTGAGAACTCGCTCTTGCATCTCACTGGCTTTGCCTGTTAGCTCCTCACACACCACGTCTTCTCTCAAAAAATCCTATCCAATAAATTGTCAGAAAAGCTGATTAATCTGCTTTCTGCAAATAGCTGATAGTAGGTAACACTTGCAACAAAAATTATTTCCCGTAAAGATAGGAAGGATGGATGATGTCACAATTCATTTGGATGACATCTTTAGCAACTCCACAGGGGCTAATCTGTAGATCTCTCCTATATGTCACACAAATCCATGTACTTATTTAATTGGAAGAGAAAAAAACCCAAGCAACTAGTTTGTGGTTTATGTTTGATTTGACATTTCATGCAAGTAAAAACAAGCAGGGGGTATATATGTAATATAACAATATTTAGCGTAACAATATAATAGAACTTACACCCAGTAAACTGACGAACTTACTTTTCCTTTCAATGCTGTCCAATCTTGATCTTCTCTGGCCTTTTCTCTAGCCTTCAAAACTGCACCTTTCCCCTTTAACCTTCCCCTTCCCCACTCTCCAAGTCAAGCCTTGTGTGCCATCCTTACGTTTCCAGTGTTTGCCATGTCCATTTCTGTCCAATGACTCTTCGCTCTGGCCCTTTTCTCACCTGCGCTTTTCTTGTCCCATCCCCAGCCCATCCCCATAGCTCATTTTGCTGGAGGACTGTGCCAATCAGCAATTCGATACCTGGTTCTCCTGCACCGAGATCAGCTGAAGCAGCCTTCTTTGCTGGTTTCTTTCCCCTGTTTCCATGTCTGTTTCCAGGCTGACACTGGAAAGATTGACATAAGTGATATACTTTAATGACAAGGCACCAGTATCTTAACATTTCTAGGTTAGCTCAGTGAAAAACGGTGCAGAGGAATGTCTGGAAAATAACCCACACTACTACGGTACGGAAAACATTTTCATGTCTGATTTTAATTTCGGAGTTTAGCAATCCTGCAGTCAGGCACATTCAATCCTTGGCTTCAGAGGAGAGAGAGGAAATGATGGAAAAAAATCACCTTAAATCTTCTTGGAAGAACACCCTGTCCCCCAACCCCTCCCAGTACATCACGTCTCTGGCTGATCTCGGGTAAAACTGAACAAGTTTGAGGTAGGGGGTCTGTGTGTCCGTCCCCAAAATTAAATAGATGGCAAAACTTTTTAGCTTTGCTACCACTAATATTTTGGTTTTGTCTTTCTTATAAGAAATAAACCCACTCTTGGTTTAGAAATACTCATATGTATTTTCTATTTTGTTTTAAATTGTTATTCAAATAAAAGAAAATCCTTTTAGCAAGCGTTCTCTGTGATTTGTGGAACTGCTGGCAAATTGCTTAAAAAAAGATAATTAGAAATCCATGATCTATACTGTGCCTAAGCTGTATTTCAGGAAAATGTTTCTCACTTTTTTTTTCTTTAATACAAACAAGCATAATGGGAAGTATCAACACAGAATAAAACGGTTATTGGAAAGCAAGCACCTTCCAACTCAATTACTTTTCTAATGCAATTACGTGTTCGTCATGGATATAATGATAGCCTTGAATTGTTTTTTTTTTTTTGTGTGGTTTGTTTGTTTGTTTTAGTGTTCCCAGGAGATTGTTGTCTTTAATACCTGTTGGCTTGTTACTTGTCCACGTAATAAAGTTGGTGGATTGTATTGCAGGGGTTGGCCAAGCAATGGGTATCTGGCATCTCCTTAAAGAGAAAGGCAATTAGAAGGGTTTTTCTGTTATATGAAATCTTCCTCCCAGTTCCTCTTATGATGTATATCTTACACAAGAGAAGGCAGAATAACTGCACAAAGCAGCCGTGTATTTGGCTAGGCTAAGAAAATGAAATTTGGCATGATTAAATAAACGTCAGTCAGTCACGTACTGATCACAGGTGAAATGGTACAAGCTTTTGTGCAGTTAAGGATTACACTGAAAACACACTAAAAGTTTTTCTTCGTTGCAGTCTGATCTAAATCTTTTCATTTCAAAGTGAGCTTACTAAGGCCAAAGCTCCTCTCAGTGTGCTAATTTCATCATTTTCATGGGTATAACCCTGATTAGTGCCAGGTACGTCTTCACGTTCCTATTGGCTCCAAGGATCCAGAAGGACAGTAAAACAGAAGTTTTTAGTAATCACAGAAGATTAGGAAAGTTGAGAGGTATACTTTTTCAAGAGGCAACCTGGAATTTTTACAACATCAGAATACAAAGCAATGACAAAGATTATGCAGAAAATAAGACAAACAAGAAAATAAGGTTTTCTTTATCAATAAGGAAGACATACATAATTTTATTTAAGTTTTGCTTTAAAGGAAATCTTTCTGTAAAATAGACCCATTAATTCTGAGTTTGGGAACTATACCAGGACGTCTTCGCTCACTGAAAAAGGGGTTTTTATCATTTGTTTTTTAAACATTATCAGTTGTCACATATCAGTGAAAACTCCTTATATTCTGTTAACATGGCAGCATTCTTCTAGAAGGAACTTTGTCTTTGGGTGGTACTATCTGAAACACTAACTGAAGCAGCAACAGCATGAGCTAGGGGCTCTAGTCCCATCACGCTAATTTTTCTACAAAGGATGAGGAATTCTCGCTTAGGCAGTGTTTGGTTCAGTGCATCATCAACTCTAAGTGAGTTCGGCAGAACATTCATCTCAACATCGCACTTCCCTGTGATTTCCCCCAAAAGACAATATGCCTACCTAATGTATTACAATCAGCTAGGCCCACATTATTTATTTTATCTTTGTAGCTCTAAAGTTACATCCTTTGTGACAGTGTGTGTCAAGTTCTTGATTTATAGCTAAAACTGGAAGGTAAAGTATATCAAACATTTTATTAACATTTCCAATGCTGAAATGGGGAATTTCGCATGTGAGAAAGCTCGGGTGTTACAGAAGCTCTCACAATAACACGATCGAAAGCGTTTGAGAATACAAGGGCTGGTATCAGTGCCGAGAGACAAGGTGAAATTTTCCATGGTGCTTGAGTGGATAGTTTTGATGATCCTGCTCCAACAGTATTACTACTGAAGTGAGCCACAGCTCATCAGAAAATCCTCATGTAACTTGTGTTTTTAAACATTAAAATAAAAACATACACACATTTTAGTTAACTAAAATTATACCTTGTCCGGGGACAAAAGGTCTAGAAAACTGGGACACAACAGAAAGAGGTGTTAACGTGGGACGGATGTTCTTCATGTTTGATAGCTGAGCTGGTGCTGGTGACTGGGCCGGCGAGGTGACAGGACTACCTAGTTGAGGACTATGCTGCAACTGGAACAACCAACAAGTTAGTGTTTTAATAAAGCACCTAGTTGAACAAGCTGAACACCTCCTACAGCATTCAGAGACTGAAGGAAAGTTAAAATAGCTATATGAAGTATTGCCAGAGCAGATTTTTATTCCGCTAAAAGAACTTTTGAAAAACCAAGCAAAGATGCATTTTATGTAAATTAGCAGTCATTCTGGAAGACAAAACAATAAACTCATACCTGCGCAGCACCGTCTAAAGTGCTAAGTTCTATGGACTTCTGCCCCCTTTGATGATCACAGTAATATTTATTCTGTTTCCATTGTGGAGGGGAATGGTTCCGAGGCTGAGGATTGTTGGGTATGTTTAGCTGCATCATTACTACTCCTCCACCTGGTGGTGGTGCTACCGCTACAAGACAAGAAACCAGCAGGATGCAGTTAGCTCATCCTAAGTTTCAATTTTCATTTTAGTAGAACAGACATGAATTAAAAAAAACCCAACACACGACAAAACAGGGAAATAACATAATGAATCATATGAATCTATGAATGTTTTGCTAAATAAGCTGCTGAATTCTGAAAAATTGTGTACAATTATATTCCCACTATCGAATAAATCTGTAATAGTTTACTTTGAGAGGGCTTCCCAGAACTAGAAAAGTTAAGTGGAACCACTGAAACTCATTATTGAGAATACTTTTGAAAGAAATACTTTATTTAATAGCAGTTGAAAGTATTCAACATTCACTGTAGTTACTGTCAGAGCAATGTGCTGAAAACCATGCAATATTAAGCAAAACCATGCTTTCTTCAAAAACAGAGGTTACCTAACCAGTTCTACATGGTATGCAGCGACACAGACTCAAAGCGTTTTTCAGATACGATGCCATACATCAGAAAGACAATCTTTAGTCTGAGGCACAATTATCCTCATTCCCAAGTTTTATGTATGAACATTTTCCTAGACAGATGGCAAATGGATGCCCACATCCTGCACCACCCAGCTGCTGTAGCAGCTCCAGAAATGCCAACGTCGGGGGAGAACAGCTGAACAGCCAATGCTGTGTGCTGCATGGGGGGCGGTGAGGAGAGGCTGCCCGAGAGAGAAGCTGTCTGCCCGCTCTGCCCCAGGTCTTTCATATCACGTCCTGTTTACTCTTAAAGAGTTGTTTGCGACTTCCTTCTCTGCTCTACCCGCTGTTCGCAGTGTTTCTCAGAAACCACAATTAAAACACGCGGTTTAAACATCATTTAATCATCCACCTTTAAAGGAGGAGTCTGCAATCTTCTCAGTTTACTGCCTACGTCATAGCATCAGCTAGGAACAGTCAGATACGGATCAAAAAATGCATTCATCTGGGAGTTTTTAAAAGGGGCTATTGCTTTCACTGCCCCTGGGCTCCACAAAGAGAAAGTCTCCTTCAAAAAGCAAATCAAACGATGGAGAGTAATGAACTCATAGTATTAAAACACTATTAGCTTTTGTAAACTGTATTCTGAAATATTTCCTATATCGATATTTATAAAAATACATGAAGAAATACTAGTAATGTTTTCACATCTAAAAAGTTCTACCCACATGTTACAGACTGAAATGGAAGCATCAGATATCTGGCTCACTCCAGCAGAGGATATAAATTTTAAGAGTCCCTACTCTGTCCCTGTAAGAGCCACATTGTGAATATTGCTGGTCTGTTGCACAGCAAAATAAAATGTACCTGTTTATGTATATCTGCTACACAATCAGGATAATGTATAACAACAGTTTCAAAGTGGTAAGGCCATAAGCTTATGTAATTCCTATATGTAAACCCAAGATGTACCAGACAAACATAGAATCATAGAATGGTTTGGGCTGGAAGGGACCTCAAAGATCATCTAGTTCCAACTCCCCTGCCATGGGCAGGGAAACCCTCCACTACACCAGGTTGCCCAAAGCCTCATCCAACCTGGCCTTGAACGCTTCCAGGGATGGGGCATCTACAACTTCTCTGGGCAACCTGTTCCAGTGCCTCACCACCCTCTGAGTGAAAAATTTCTTCCTTAGATCTAATCTAAATCTCCCCTCTTTCAGTTTAAAGCCATTTCCCCTTGTCCTATCACTACATGCCCTTGTAAAAAGTCCCTCTCCAGCTTTCCTCTAGGCCCCCTTTAAGTACTGGAAGGCTGCTATAAGATCACCCTGGAGCCTTCTCTTCTCCAGGCTGAACAGCCCCAACTCTCTCAGCCTGTCTTCATAGGAGAGGTGCTCCAGCCCTCGGATCATCTTCATGGCCCTCCTCTGGACCCGTTCCAGCAGCTCCATGTCCGTGTTGTGTTGGGGACTCCAGAGCTGAACACAGTATTCCAGGTGGGGTCTCACAAGAGCAGAGTAGAGGGGCAAAATCACCTCCCTCGACCTGCTGGCCACGCTCCTTTTGATGCAGCCCAGGATACGGCTGGCCTTCTGGGCTGCCAGCACACGTTGCCGGCTCATGGTGAGCTTCTCACCCACCAGCACTCCCAAGTCCTTTTCCTCAGGGCTGCTCTCAATCCATTCTCCACCCAGCCTGTACTTGTGCTTGGGGTTGCCCCGACCCACGTGCAGGACCTTGCACTTGTCCTTGTTGAACTTCATGAGGTTCTCACAGGCCCACCTCTCCAGCCTGTCAAGATGCCTCTGGACAGCATCCCTTCCCTCCAGCGTGTCCACAACACCACACAGTTTGGTGTCATCTGCAAACTTGCTGAGGGTGCACTCGATCCCACTGTCCATGTCACCAACAAAGATGTTAAATAGCACTGGTCCCAGTACTGACCCCTGAGGAACACCACTCGTCACAGGCCTCCACTTGGACAACTTGAGGCTATGCTTCCCCTTTTCCAGTCAGTGGGAACTTCACCAGATTGCCACGACTTCTGAAATATGATGGATAGTGGCTTAGCAACCTCATCTGCCAGTTCTCTCAGGACCCATGGATGCACCTCTTCAGGTCCCATGGACTTGTCCACCTTCAGGTTCTTTAGATGGTCTCGAACCTGATCT